GAGGTTGTTGATATTTCTTCCGGCAATCTTGATTTTGGCTTGGGATTCCTCTAGTCCAACTGTTCTCATGATGTATTCTGCATATAAGTTAAATAAGCCGGGGGACAATATACAGCCTTGTCGTACTCCTTTCCCAATTTTGAATGAATCAGTTGTTCCATATCCATTTCTAACTGTTGCTTCCTGTCCCACGTGGTTTCTCGGGAGATAGATAAGGTGGTCAGGCACTCCTGTTTCTTTAAAGACTTGCCATAGTTTGCTGTGGTCTACATAGTCAAAGGCTTTTACGTAGTCAATGAAGCAGAACTAGATGTTTTTCTGGAATTCTCTGGCTTTCTCTATAATCCAGTGCATGTTGGCAATTTGGTGTCTAGTTCCTCTGCCCCTTCGAAATCCAGCTTGTACTTCTGGGAGTTCTTGGTCCACATACCGCTGAAGCCTACCTTATAGGATTTTCAGCATAACCTTGCTAGCGTGTGAAATGAGTACAATTGTACGGCAGTTGGAGCATTCTTTGGCATTGCCCTTCTTTGGGATTGGGATGTAGACTAATCTTTTCCAGTCCTCTAGCCACTACTGAGTTTTCCAAACTTGTTGGTATATTGAGTGTAGCACTTTAGGATTTTAATTAGTTTGTCTGGAATGCCATTACCTCCACTGGCCTTGTTGTTAGCCATGCTTTCTAAGACCCATTTGACTTCATTCTCCAAAATGTCTGGCTGAAGGTCAGCAACCACACTATCTGGGTTGTCCGGGTCATCCAGATCTTTCTGGTATAATTCCTCTGTTGATTCTTGCCACCTCTTCTTGATGTCACCTGCTTCTGTGAGGTCCCTCCCATTTTTGTTCTTTATCATGTCCATCTTTGCACAAAATATTCCTTTCATATTTCCAATTTTCTTGAACAGATCTGTTTTTTTTTCCTTTCTATTATTTTCCTTTATTTCTTTGCACTGTTCATATAAGAAGGCCCTCTTGTCTCTCCTTCTGTTCTTTGGAAGTCTGTATTCAGTTTTTTTTAACGTTCCCTATCTCCCTTGCATTTTCCCCTTCTCTTCTTTGCTATTTGTAAGGCCTCGTTGGGCAGCCACTTTGCTTTCTTGCATTTCCTTTTCTTTGGGATGGTTTTTGTTGCTGCCTCCTGTACAATGTTATGAGCCTCCATCCATAGTTCTTCAGGCACTCTGTGCATCAAAACAAGTTCCTTAAATCTGTTCTTTACTTCCACTGAGTATTCATAAGAGATTTGGTTTAGATTATACCTGATTAGCCCTGTTGTTTTTCCTAGTTTCTTCAGTTTAAGCTGGAATTTTGCTATAAGAAGCTGATGATCAGTACCATAATCAGCTCCAGGTCTTGTTTTTGCTGACTGTATAGAGCTTCTCCATGTTTGGCTGCAGAGAATATAATCAATCTGATTTCGATATTGCCCATCTGGTGATTTCCGTGTATTGAGTCGCCTCTTGTGTTGTTGGAAAAGTGTGTTTGTGATGACCAGCTTGTTCTCTTAGCCTTTGCCCTGCTTCGTTTTGAACTCCAAGTCCAAACTTGTTCCTTTCATCTCTTGACTCCCAACTTTAGCATTCCAATCCCCTATAAAATGAGAAGAACATGGTTGTTTGATGTCAGTTGTAGAAGGTGTTGTAAGTCTTCATAGAATTGGTCAATTTCAGCCTCTTCAGCATTGGTGGTTGGTGCATAAACTTGGATTACTGTGATGTTGAAAGGTCTTCCTTGGATTTGTATTGAAATCATACTATCATTTTTGAGATTATAACTCAGTACAGCTTTTCCCACTCTTTTGTTGACTATGAGGGCTACTCCATTTCTTCTATGGGATTCTTGCCCACAATAGTAGATATGATAATCATCTGAACGGAATTCGCCCATTCCCATCCACTTTAGTTCACTGACGCCCAGGATGTCAACGTTTATTTTTGCCGTCTCCTGTTTGACTACATCCAGCTTACTAGGGTTCATAGGTCTTACATTCCAGGTTCCTATGCAGTATTTTTCTTTGCAGCATCGGACTTTCCTTTCACTTCCAGGCACGTTCACAGCTGAGTGTCCTTTCGGCTTTGGCCCAACCACTTCATTAGCACTGGAGCTACTTGTCCTTGTCCTCCACTCTTCCTCAGTAGCATGTTGGACGCCTTCCGACCTGAGGGTCTCATCTTCCAGCGTCATATCTTTTAGCCTTTTGTTTCTGTTCATGGGGTTTTCTTGGCAAAGATACTGGAGTGGCTTGTGAATGCCTGCTCCAGGTGGATTGCGTTTAGTCAGAACTCTCCACTATGACCTGTCGCATCTTGGGTGTCCCTGTATGGCATAGTCCATAGCTTCTCTGAATTACTGAAGCCCCTTCGCCACGACAAGGCAGCAATCCGTGAAGGGATTGCCAGAAAGATTCCCAAATGAGTCCTAGATCAAATCAAGATTGAACTGTTTCTGGAAGAAAAAATATTGAAACTGAGACTGTTGGTTTTTGGGGCTTATCATGAGAAGGCAGGATTCTCTGGAAAAGGAAGTACGGCTGGGAAAGACAGAAGGCAACATGAGAATAGGAAGAAGAAATGCAAGAAGGAGGCTGGAGTTTACAAGAGCTGAGTAGGAGAGTTAAGGGCACGACATTAATGCCACCTTCAGGACATTGAAAGTTGCTGTTCTAAAATAATCTTTGTTGTTTTTAAAAACCGTCAACCTGACTCAAAGATTCACTGTCTATAATAGTTTTAGAAGACGCAGAAGCCTCTTGTGCTGCCACAATTCCTGTTGTACTAGAAGAATCCCTTTGTGTAGAGTGATCATAGAGATATACTAGCAGAAGGATCTGCTGGCACAGTGGTTGTGCTGGCTAAGATCTCTCAGCAGAAGATCAGAAGAAGGGCCAGGGTGAGATAACAGTTGAGTTATGCCAGAACCAGATTTGCTGCAGACCAGGAACAAATCTACTGTCAGCTCAAAGGTAGGCAAAGGTAGGCTAAGGTGAGATTTTCAGCAATCTCAGGCTGAAGTGCATTTAGTTTAGTTCCACTGACCTTCTGTCTGCTCAGCGGCTCTTAGGCATCTTGGGTAATTAGGACAACCCCCTTAATATTTTCAAAACTTTTGTAAATAATTATAGGATAGTTTCAGATCTCACTTTCTGGGTCAAAATGGCAGCACAAATAGGGTCTTGAACCTGCATCTTCCAAGTTCTATTCCAACATTCCAAGTCCCATTCCACTGTACCACTCTGGCATTTTTCCCGGTTCCTTCTTGGTGATTCCCAGTTCTTTTTTTCACAAATGAATGAAGCATGCTGCCAAGATTCCTTTCCTAGGCAATCTCTGTTACTTCAGATGCTATCAGTATTCTACTTTTTCCAAAGTCAGACACACTATCTGCTGTATCACTTCCTGTAATCAGAGTTTCTGTAAATTAGTCCACCTTGGCTGCTGCTACATGTACAGACATGTTTCTTTTTAAATTTTGCTACATTTCAAGTCTTTAGATGACATCAGATGACCTATTACTGTTGTTTGCTGATGCATATTTAAGGCAGACTTGTTTGTGTGATATGTTGAGACACTAACTTCTACATGTTGGGATAATAAGAAGATAAGGAGGAACAAAGGTCAAAATACTGTGGCATTTTAAAGGTGAACAGATCTAGATCAGTGAGCTTTTGTGGATCAAATCTACTTTTTGAGATGTAAGGAATGACACTAACTCATGCATCAAAATATAAAAGATGTTCTATAAATATGGGACATTTTGGCGTGGAAGGCCAATTTCAAGTGTAATTGCAGAATGAAATTCATTTATTCAGTCTACCTTTGTGATTGAATTTGGCTTAATGTGGAAATGTCATGTTCATATTCTTTTTGTTTCCTTTTTTTTTCATTTAGCATCTAAGATGTCCACTGAAGGAGAGAGAGTTGATGATAGTCCAAGCACTAGTGGAGGGAGCTCTGATGGAGATCAGCGAGAAGGTGCTCAACAAGATCAAGAAAGAGAACAAGTTCAGCCCAGAAAAAAAGAGGGCAAAATCTCTAGCAAAACGGCTGCAAAACTTTCCACTAGTGCTAAAAGGTAATTCTCTATGTTCATTTTCAGACACCTTATTTTAAAGAATATCACCAGTAGCCATTAATTAGACTTCTAAAATATCTGTAATGTTTCAGTACTCTGCAAAGGTATATGTTAATTAGCATGCTTTAACATGATTATAGTAGTGATTGATAACTTGACTGACTAGTTTTCCCATCAAATGTTATTGTTATTAAAACAAAGGCTGATTTTTAGTTTTAACTGATACGTGTTTATGTATGTATGGGGGGCAGGGGAGAGAGACTGATGTTCAGACATGTCAGTGTAATGTACAGTTAATTATCTATAGACATTTCAGACACTTCAGTAATTCAGCATGGTAAAACACTACAGTAGTATCTTTTGTTGTCACTGTGTTTCTGTTCCCCAGTTGGTTAGGTAAAATGTCAGAGTGACTGAAAATGCATTTTCATTTCATAGTGTTAAATCACAGATTTTCTTAGTACCTTTGGCTTTTTCACCCCTCTAGAGAAAAGATCGAGTTGGAGAATAGCTACTTAAGAGATCTTAGGCTGTTGCATCAGTCACTGCAAGATAATGATTGTTGTGTTTAGACTCTGCACAGATGGAGCCTGTATTTATAGTTTTTCCCCAAGCACATGGTAGCAATAGTCTTAACAGAAACATTCAAATCCTGTTTCTAAGAAACTCAGACCAATCAAGCCATTAAAAAAAAAATTCTGGAGCATAGTTTTACTTATATTGCTTTAGTAAAATTCAGGGTAACTGATTGCATCGTCATCTTATACTGTTCAAAATCAGTAGAACTTTTATTGGTTAACATGGAACACTACTAATATAATCAAATGCTAGGTGTATTAAGTGAATAAGGACATTATTTCTTGCCTCTCTGTTCCTGCATATTACTGAGTTGTTGTCCCTCATATTGGCAACATCAGCATGATTGTTGCTACCAAATACTTTGTGTATGTTATATATATCCCTGTGAGATATAGACATGGAGGGGAGCCCTCCCACCGACATGTCATCCTCTCTTACTTCAGAAATAGAGGGATTTGCGACCTCCATTTCACCTATAAACATGGGTGAGGAAAAGGTGAGAATTGATTCTCCTGTGTATCTGGACAGAAAACCCAGGAGAAAAGCAACTTTTGGAGGAGGAGGGGTTAGCCATAGGGGGAAAAATAAATGAAGGGGAGAAGGAACAGCCAAAGGTAGACAAGACTAGAAACTCTCAAGAGAGAAACAAAGTAATATAAGGAACAGTGGAAGAAGAGAAAGAAAGAGAGGTGATAGAAGAGGAGGAGATCTGTGGGAGAAGCAGAAGAAAAAGAACCTGAGCTATGTGAGGAGTGGGAATGGATAACAAAAGAGGACACATGGACTGGGGAGATAGCTTGGCTTCAGGTCCCTTGGGAAGAAGTGGAGAGACAAAGAAAACACCATCCTCCTAGAAAACCATCCTTGTGCGGAGAGAGAGAGAGAGAGAAGAGGAGATGCTGCTACTTGCAGTTGGTGAGGCAGGTGAGAGAAGTAGCTACAGAGAGAGGAGAGGTGACATGGAATCCCTCCCAAGGGACAAATCTGAGAGGGATCTTGCTCATTGGAGGAATTGGATGGTTTGAGAGGAAGAGAGGGAAAGATACCAAGGACAGCTGGGCACGACACCCTGTTGCAACTCCCTGTGTATGGGCCAACACAGTCTTCCTCCCCAAAAGTATCTGAAAGAGAGTTAAGCATCAAACCAGAAGAATCCTAATTGGATGTCCCCAGATGAAAGGACTGGTTTGTCCCTGCCATTTGACCCAGAGTTTGAACCCTTTGAAGTAGTGGCAGAAAAGTTACCTAGGTTGTTAATAAAAGTTGAACAGTTTGAGCATGAAGTGGACTCTGGGCATTCTTTCCCAGAAATAAGAGTTGTGGGGGCACAAGTTAACACCTGTGCAGACGAATTTCTGTATTTAGGTTTCTTTGTTAAGGCTAATTTTTTGTTCTTCATATTCTTTGGCATCAGTCATCATCTGTCCTTGAACAAGGCTGAATTGGCAAGGTTCTTGATTGGTTCAAAGCTAGAATATAAGTGGCTTCAAGCAAAGCTATAAGTAGTAGGAAACTATGTGCCTTCATTTTTTTCCTGCCCTCATAAAAATGAGGCAGTGGAGGAAACTGCAGAGGTCACAGACAGGCTTTTTGTTTGCAAGGAGAGTAGAGGCTATAAGCTGACACCTTGAAGCCTTTTTTTTCTCCCTTTTTTCTCCCTTTCTTTCTTTCTTTTTTTCAGTGAATCTTTAGTCTCCATCTTGCTTAGCCAGTCTGTTTTCAAGAACAGTGACATAACATCTAGTGAGATATTTATTGGGGACTTATAGGGACAATTTGATTTTTCCTCTGCATCCCAATTTTTAAAACATCTACATTTAAAGAAGAATATTGGAGGATGCAAAAATTGTCATGTTATAACTTTAATTTTCCTGGTAAGGGTATACCCAACTTAGATATTTGTTTACACTTGAATCATATAGCTACTTTGATTCTAAAAAAGATCAGTAGGGAAAGATCACTGGGAGTTCAGATGAATGTTTTCTTGTTTTCTTTCATGAAAAGAAAACAAAGTTTAAAACAGTGGAGAAATTTCTTTTGTGCACATAGTGCATTTATATGCTCTTTATGGTAATCTCATTTAAATTTTTATAGAGACTGGTATGGATAAGGAGTATGACTAAAACAGATTTATATGTACAGTATGGGATTGATTTATTTTAATTTTATCAAGGATTAAGAATTATTTTAAAGACATGGAAGAATAAGCAAAATTTTCTCACATAGGAATGGTAAATGATGCCAGGTCTCTCTGTAGTGGGCATGCCAGCATCAGTTGGTAGAAAGCATTCGATGTCACAGAGGTTACATGAGCCTGTAGTAGTCTCTTGGGAAAAACTGGATGAACAAGTATTCATAAATTATGTCAGAAATTAAATTACCAGTTTTATTTGAATCTTTTGCAGGACTACATAGGTCTTTGATCTCATCCAGGAAAGCTCTTCGATACTTATGTTGAAGATTCTGACAGAATCCTGCTGCTGTTTTCCACTTGCTCAGTGCTTTGTTGTGTAAATGTGTTATGCTGTTGAAGTGAATCCAAATTATTCTCAAATTCTTGTTTATGTATTTGTAAAAATATTTTGGACATTTCATATGACAACTATGAAATATTTCACCTTTAGTATAACAGTTGTTTATTTTGAAATTGTGCAAACAAAATGGAATTTGGACAGTATTTTTTATACTAAATATATAATAAGCAGTAATGACAGTTGTTATGGGTTAGTGTGTGTGTGTAGATTTAGATGCTTGCATTTGTGCTCGTTGTTGGGGCTTTACATCCCTATGAGGATGTTGAGGCTTTTCATCCCTCATATATGTTGAGATAAATAAGATGAAATAAATAAGCAGAATGGATGAAAATCATTGATTGTTTCTGACCAGATAACTAAAAATATCCTTGTACATTGCACAACAATAATTGTTATCAGTGTAAAGATGTCAGATTTTTCTGTAAACACTTTTGTTGCCTGTGAGGTATACATAGGGTTCCATTTACCCACTCTATGCAGGCTTCCTATAGGTTGTTGTCTGGCAAGTTTTGCAAGTTTTTTATTTGTTGTGAAATGCAAGACGTGCTTAACAAGAGAAATACAGTAAACTGGGGGTAAAGACTGAGGAAGAATATTTTATATATCCAGAGAATTCATGAAAAATAGTCAAAAATCCAATTTTATAGTATGGTTTATTTCCTCTATTCTTTTCTTGAAGGGTACATGATTAAAATATATTTTTGTCTTTAATGGTCATAGTAGTGCTAATAATTTTGAGAAAGTGCTAGAATATATATGCTACCTAGATCATATATTTAATTCAGAAGATGATTTTCATAGTAAGTTAGCATAAGTAAACTTGAAGCAATAGAGAAAAACCAAACAACTGGTAGTTGTGTTAGGCTTTGTTCAAAACACATTAAAATCCAAACAGGCAAGATTTGAAAGCAAAAGGAATTCTAAACTACTTTTTATACCTGTCTGAAGCTCGGACATACTTACAGAGTATTTTAACCTAAGATTGGAAGGCATTCTTTTAAAAAAAAACCCAAGCAAAGAATATATTTTTAGTTGCAATGGTACATCCAGATTAAATCTTAAGGCTGATATAGAGTGACTAATAATCTTTTTTTAATTGTTGGTTATTTTATTTCTATTCACAGTGTAATGCTGATTCATATAGTAGCTGGCATGATAGATAGAACTGATCATTTAAATTAAGTTTTTTTTTCTTTTAAAACAATTTAATATTAGAGTAAAAAAAACCTTAATTGTGAAAATTAAGTGAGAAATATAAAGCAGGTTAAAATCCAGATGTGGTCCAAACAAAAGTATGAAGTAGATGTAGCAGTCTCTTCTAGTTAATTCATGAGCATGAGAGATCTGATTTGCAGTTGACAAATTTCAGAAATCGTAAGTTTTATGAATGACAAAATGTTCCGCAGATATCACATTATAGAGGAGGTGGGGAAGGTGGCTGGTTTTGTACTAGTGTGTGTGTTTGGAGGAGAGAATGGAATGGAAGGGAATTTCCTGCTATTTTACCTGAAGTAAGAAGTGATTAGTGTAATTTTGGTTTGAAGCAAGCTGATCTGTTTGTGGCTAAGGGAGAAGGATGATGGCTGGATAGCTGGCTGTGGAGATAATCTGGCTGTGGAGCTAGAGGTTGGGAGTCTGATTTCCCCACTGCACACCCCAGAAGAGATAGCCTGTATGGTCCAGGGCAGGGGTCTCAAAATATTTCACCATGATAATATATTTTCCACAGCTTTGAGGGTATGCCCGGCTGCCAGCGCTCCTGCACTCCCGCATGCATGCCCGCCCACACTCCCATCCGCCTGCATTCCCGCCTGCCCACACTCCTGCTCATCTGCCTGCCTGCACTCCCACCAGCCGGGGCTGGATCAAAAGGCAAGACAGACTGGA